GTCAAACAAGCATCATATTCAAGCATGGCAGTCAATAGAATAATAAAACAAAAATAATCAAAAATACAGTTTAAAAGTCTTTGTCAGGTGGATGTGGAGCTGTGTGTTGAAATACCAGGTAACAAGTGAAGATGGCCGTGTGTTCTGACAGCTGTATTGCCACAGCCACCCTGATGACAGTTGTTGAAATTGTGATTCACTCTCACAGATAATTTGCACATACTTTTTTGCTGAGTATCAAAGCAAAAGTGAGCCTGAGTCTCTGAGACTAAAATACTTTAAATGTTTTTTTCTTAATTATTTAGCTGTTCTCCTTTGTTATTCAAAATTGATGAATATTTTATTGACAAAAACTGTCACTTTGAAGTATATGATTGTCCAGTTGATGAGATTGAACCTTTCTAAGCGGTTGACTAGCCTGCTGCATAATTACAGCAAGCAGTGGAGAAAAGTGTTGTCACTTGGTTTATTCCCTAGTGCTCCTTTTCTTTCAAATTAAATCCCACATGTACTGTAGTTATAAAACTAGCTTATTAACAAATTTGTATTACATTTTCAAAACACATGACATGAACAAGTCTTGGGTCTTTGGTGTCCGTGACGGGAAACCCAAATCCATATATAGTGGATAAGTACAATGTTCAATGTTCATTATTTAATCATATTCAATCATAATTAGACTGATTAACGATATTATAGCCGAATGGTATACTGAAGTATATTCTTTGTTTTGTATCTCTTTGTGTTTTGCATTTCTTCGTGATAATATACCTTGCATTTTGATAACCCTCACAGTAAGATCTGCCATCTGTTTCCAGGCAGACTATTATGTTTTATATGCACAATTTATGTTTTAATAAATGTATCTCGTGTATTGAATCCATGTGTGTGTGTTGCTGATCGATTGATTTTTTAATTGCCATAAAAAAATCACCTCGTGGTTACTGCTACAATTAATAAATTGTCCCAGTAAATTCACAAAACTCCTACACTGTACTTCTTTATATGAGTTCTGTAAATCATGTAACTAGGATCAAATAAGTATCAGTCTCCACTTAATCTTGCAGAATAGTTTTTTAGCGACAGTTAGATCTCCTACTAAAAGTTATTGTGCATTATATCAGCAGTGCAGTAACTGACTGGTGGCTTGTAGCTATAGGAGTAACAACTAGAGTCCCAGCTGAAGTTAGCTGCCAACTAGTGCCAACTTCAGGAACAAATAAGAGGTGGCATAATACTTTCATTCCAGATATTACCAAACACAATAGAGGAGGCCAACCCTGGAGAAATGAAATAAGTAAATATAGTTAACATTAAACAGATGAAATATACTCATTTGAAAAAGGTAGAGAAAAGTAATAATTGTAAAAAAAAATAATGTAACATCAGTATAACAGTAAACTAATAAAGACTTAACTACTAACTACAGATTAAATCTAACAAACATTAACAATTATAAGACTTATTGTTACAGGACAGTTACTAAAATAAGTAAATAAGTTACTAAAATAAGTAAAATAAATAATAGCTCTCCTGTAACTCAATTACAGAGAAATATATTTTTTTTAAGTTTAGCTTCTGTGTTTGAAAAGCAACATATGAAACACATCCAGAAACCCAAAATAAAGTGTGGGGGATCCTGTAGCAATCGTATTTTTATGCGTAATATAAAATATAGAAACATCCCAAGAAATAGACACAATGAACTTCAGTAAAAGACACCCTCCTTTCCCTCGAGAATGCAAGACAAAAATTACAGAAAACTGAACTGCCACTAACAATAACAGAACAATTTGTTTCACTTAAACTATTTGCTTTGTGGAAAAATCCAACAGAGCAGGGTTGTCCTTAGAAAGATCAAAAAGTGGTGCAATCAGTTTGAAAAGCAATGGGGTATGAGAATTACACTGTACTGTAGGTAGCTGGAACTGTCCTCAAACCTGTCCTGGAACAGTAGAAAACACCAACAAGCAACAACACCAGGAAGCAACCACTGCTGCGAGGAGAGAAGTAGAAGGAAATTTAGTGTTGAAGGGAGGTGTCGGTATTAGGTGGCATGATGACATGACTGTCAACACACATATAGCCACACAGCTCCTGGGTTCAATTCCAGCTTGAGGCACCTGGAATTTATCAAGTGCTCTGGTTTCCTCCCACCTCCCAGGTGCATTTGGCCTTGGATTTATCTAAATTGTCTTTCAATGTTTACTGTATGTTTGTGCTCTGTGATGGAGGTAATCCTAGCAGGAAGCAGTCTTACCTTGTGCCATGTGGTTCTGCGATGGGCTCTAGTTCTTCAAGACCATACATCAGGAATAAGTGTTTTTCTGTTGATGGTTGGACAGATCATGAATATTCTAAATATTCATTGTTTTAGGAAATTAGGAAAGTTATTGAAAGCAATATTACAAATATTAGGAGGATACCTTTAACACAAATCCTGGTGAGTTGTGTGAGGGAAATCATTTGTTACAATTAGTAAAATGTGGGATATTCAGCCTAGAAAACAAGTTAAGAAATTTAATGGAACTTTGTTAGAAAATGAATGGCAAATTCTCCCAAGCACCTCTAGAAATGCTGTAATCTGGGTCTTCCTCAACAGGGTCTGTCTTAAGCACAGTTTACCTGTTTTGCTGTAGTTGGCCTCTGACTAATGACTTCATAAAAAGCTTGTTTTTAGTGGCATTTAAAAAAAAGGTCAGTTTTCAGAGCTATTACTTATTGAACTGGAGGCAGTGACGCCATTTGTGATTTCTTTATTATTCCTCCTTTGTCCAACGCTCATGGCTTCTCACCAAATGATCTGATTAAGTACTGGAAACATACCAGGCAGTTGATCTATTTCCTCTATGCCACATTGCTCTGTCTTTTAGGAAGTTTTTCAAAGCTTCTCTCTTCCAGCTGACTAGATGAGTAATAGATTGAGGCCTGCAAGTCTGACTGCACACAAGGAGTGGAACAGAATTAGCGTGCCCTCTTAGTCAGCATCCTTCTTGCTTTCAGGGCTGTTTCTGATGCGACTGATACATTTTTTTAATTTGATAACCATGTAACCTGATAGAACAGTTCCTATAGAGAAAGTATTGCGTATCCCTAATAATATTTTTTTTTACAAAAGTTGCAGTTGAAAGAAGTGGAGAGACACATTAATGTTTGTGGTTTGTTTTTTGTAGTATTTGGAAATAATGGATTTTATGTTATACTGAAAGGATCTGTCAAATCACAAACCCAGCAGGACAAGAAGCAAACTGAAGAACAAAATACTGTGGTAAGATTTCTCATAGTTTACATTGCTATTTAAGTGCACACTGTGAGACCTGTAAGAGTGTGACAAGTATTCATATTCGTGTTGATCATTAAATGTTTCATGCCTGCTGCAGATATTGATGTACAGCCAGTATTTTTGCAAAGCAAATGGTTCTAAAGTCCTATTACATCCTTAGTATAATACATTTTAGAATTTCATGTATTATGTATTGCCTTAAAAAATGTCTTTACAAAGAAAACCTTTACAAAGGTTTACAGTAAATTTATGTTCATACAAATCCACGTTTATGATGGTATTTAATACTTATCATCTGGCATAAATGTATTTCTTTGCTTTGAAACCATTATTCATTATAAACATTTTCTATTCCTTGAGGATAACAAGAAATATTCAGATTGCTGTTTACTGAATTTGCTTAGATATGTTTCTCATTATTTACAGCTAGGTTTTGGTTGTTGTTTCGGAACTCTGGAAGAAGTACAGAACTATGAATCAAACAGGGTTCTGTGTTTCACTGCACAAGAAAACTGTGAAATCCTTAAAATATCCCATCGGGATTACGCCACAATAAAAAAGGTATGGAACACCAGTATTTAAAATGATTTATTTTTAAAACAACATTGGGAAGTTTTATAAGAGAACCCCTTGTGCTCCTTTGTGACAAATCTAATCCTCTGATTCCATCTTCTTTATAACCCCTCAGATAGTGAGACCCAGAGGGACAGTCTTTAGCCTGTTGTACATCACATGGTTACACAGCAGTTTCTGAGGGAAACACCTTGTTGAATGTTAACTGAGGACACATCTGTTCTCTTCTGCTTAACGTGTTTTCTTGATAATTGACAACCACTGTGATGTTTCCTTAAAATGATATTTTTTTTATGCAACTTTAAATCACTGGTTACTTTGCCCACCTTACTTGAAATAGTTTTTCATCATCTAATAGTCAACAGTCTCTAGAGGAGCTGACTGGATTGTTGCTGATTTCTACAGGCGCCTAATAAAGTTACAGCGCTGATGTTGCTGTAAGAGCTGTAAGAGTACAGGCCAGCTTATCCCAGCACTAGTTGATGCAGTGTTCATTTGGGCTTTATGCTCTGTGTTTATTCCTCAAATGGTGGTTCAAATTTGAGTTTCTACTGTTTTGTGTGCAAATGTACTGTAAGGATATGGATTATTTATTGTTTGTGCTTTCTATTTAACTTAATCATCATGATGCTGTTATACCTGGTAACCTGGTCTAAGAGATAGATTGTGTTAATCAGAAGTTAATAATAGTGATTCATATTTCAAAATGTGAAAATGCTTTAAACCCATTGATATTGTGCACAATTGTTTCTTCTAATTGGCAGGAAAATTATATTTTTGCTTATCAGGAGATTGCTTCACGTGATCAAGCAATGAAGGAGGATCTCATTCGACAGTGTCCCTTCTATGAACAGTGGCCTAAACTCTCCATTAGTAAACTGGCCACTCTGATAGAGATGAGAAATCTGCCTGCTAGTTATGGTAAAACATGTTTCATACATTCCCTGTAGCTCCATAATCTGATCTGATAATGCATAAGCCAGTGACATAGAAACTGGCTTGATTACATGTTTTATTTGAATTGAGAAATGTCATTAGGAATTTCAATCTAGAGAATCTGTTTTTTATTGTCTGTAGTATATTCAGTGTTACATGATAATGAGTGTCTGGGACAAACTGTCCAGCCATGTTGCTAAGCAGATTCCCTTGGAAATGGCTGAATAATCCTTTCTTATTTTCATATGCCCTTCTTTTGTGCAGTTGGTTTAATGATGATTTCCTAAAATGTACAGTTGCTTCTGAGGACATCCCAGAGGTGTCTGCTTTGTAATTCTGAATCATGTGGCTGTTATGTTTAGTCTGTTCACTGAAGGAAGGGTTCAGGTCTGATTCCTGCAATGTTTGGGCTTGGGGAATTTTGGAGGTACCTGGAGATATTGATCCTAATATTGAGGATTGAGCTAACCAGAGAAGTTCGAAGGCTGAGGGGGGCAATCTTTTAAGTGGTAAACAGGATCGCCACAGTGGTGGTGGACTGAAAGTGACTGTGACAGTGAATGCAGTGGACAGGCATTAACCTTATTTAATCCACCAGAGCTGAATCAGTCGCAACAGCGTTGGGCTGTTGATGATGTGACTCCTGGCTTGCAGCTGACGAGCGGTGTTGTTGAAACCCTGGCAGACTCTGGTCCTCCGGAGATCAGGGTACAAGGATGGGGTACAAGGACTAGGTAACAGAGGGGAGTTACATTGAGCAGCAGAGACTGGGTTTGTTTTCAGGAACCACAGTGGACTGGTAAAGCTGAACAAACCAACAGGCTGGTTCCGGAACTGGCTGTCAGGTAAGGGCGGACCAGAGAGACAGTTGTAGTCAAAGCTGAAGCAGACTGTCAACTGGGGAAGCAACTAATGTCATCTCTGTCTTATGTCGGCTCTGGCAATTTTAGCAGAGACTGGCTAATGACTAGGGCTGATGATATTGGAAAAACACTTGTTGTCTGAGGCATAGACCGGTTTTGGGATCCGCAATCCTAAAAGAGAACTCCTGCACATCCAGTGGTGATTGCGTTGATGTCAGTACTGCCACTGGCAGCTGAATGAGCTCAATGACAGAGCACCCCTTATGTAGTTCTTCAGGATTAAAAAGTTGAATAGTTGATGAGTGTGTGAGTGGTAGAGGGAGAAGATGCCCAAAAGTTGGCCTTTTCGCATCCTTTGAGGATGACTGGCTCCTCATGGGAATATTTCGGTCTCCCTTGGCAACCAGTTTGTAAGAGTTGCAATAATAAGAGTGGCGGGTTTTTTGAGATTTCATGAGGACATCGAAACTGTAACTCATGCCTTTTTGCACTCTAGATAATCGTCTAATTTACATTTTTTTTTTCATTCATCTTTTCTTGCTGCCTGCAATGCATATGTAGGGTCTTAATTAGTAGAAGTTTTGTACAGGGAACAGTCTGTTAACTAGAGCCCAGTGGCACTTTGGTGATCATTAACCCCACGTATGAGATCCATACACACTTGGTCACTGTAAAATGTATACTTGTGTGCCATATTATAAAATCCTCTATTGTACTATAATATTATTTTTTTCTTAAAGTCCAGTCTGTTTTAAATTAGTTTGAATAAATAGTATTCTATGAAATAAACGGTGTATAGCAGATATGTTATGGGTTGCATTTATTTTAAATAAGGTTTTATTGTGATTACTATAACCAAATGCAAGACTACAAACTTTGAAATAAACCTATTTTGATTGTTTCTTATCTGACTGCGCACATGATGGATTGCCAGACTAGTACATTAAAAAATGAGATGATTAGACGGGCTTGTGCTGGGCTTCATCAGCAGATGTTCGGAGTCTGACAGAAAACGATTTTTTTCCTGCCTATTATTCTCAAAATGTGGAATTACTCTAGTCAGAGTCAGTAATGGAACATTTCTCCAGCTCTGTCAAAATGGTTTTGTGTGGACTTTTTACAGCACAACAGAAACTGTTTTTTCCCTTTAAATTGATGTGCGCATTTTCAGCTGTATGAACACATCCTTCCAGTATAGATGTACAGTATGTGTATTTAAAATAGCACGTCTTTACCCAAAGAGTAGTAGGAATATAGAACAAGCTGCCCAGCCATGTGGTTGAATATCCTGACAACTTTCAAGAAATGAAGGGATGATATACTTCTATCAATAACCAACTAGATGATTGGCCTAGCTAGTTTGTAGCCTTTATTATGTTCTTAGATGTACTGTATCCAGGGTTTGTCATGGAATTTCAATGAATTCTTTTCATGCCTAATAGGCATGAAAGCCTGCAAAACAATATTTGACAACAGATTAATTATATTGTCTAAATAGTAGAGTACAGCAAAAGTTAATATTGATCTGTGATCACGAACGTTTATAAAATGATATTCTTCTCTGTTTGGTATAATAGTGCAAACCATTCAAGAGAAGCTTCTGTCAGGTACTTTGTGAGGTTTAACAGATTGTTCATCAGCCTGTTCTTACCATAATTTGCTTTGTTTTGAAAGTACCTTTCATTAAATCGATTATTAGTTTAAGCTTCAGTGTCAGGTCAGCCAGACCTTGCTTATCATCTCTAAAGGGTTGGACTTAGATTAGGCATGTCAGTGTGGTGAGCCATGTTACTTCAGCCCTATCTGACGCCACAGTCTTTCACCCTCTAGGGTGGAAATTGTCAAACCCCAGCCACATATGATTTCTGCTGCAGTCCATGAAAGAAAAAAACGTGTAGCATTAAGTATACTACACTTTTTTTAATATCCAGCAATATTAAAAAAAATATATTTTCATTTTTTTGTTTGCATGGGTTTCATTTCTCCTGGGTGCTCTGGTATCCTTCCATAGTCCAAAAAACATACTGGTAGGGTAACTGGCTTCTAGGAAAATTTGTCCTAGGTGTGAAGATGTGTTTGTGTCTTTGTGTCTACCCTGTGATCGACTGGCCTTGTGCCAGTTGCCTACTGGGATGGGCTCCAGCTCCCCCATCACCCAGCAATAGGGGAATGGTTAGAAAATGGATGGGTATTTAGCAGCAATGGAGTAGAGTATTGCAGGCCTAGGCTAGTAAGTGTTCTTTTGTTCTGTGAACTGGTTTAAATGTTAGAATCATCATTTATTTGTTCAGTATCCACTTATGATGAAAAGATGTCCCTGATGTGAGTATATGCATGTCTGTACAGTATGTGCCCTGTGATAGATTGCAGTCCCATCCAGGGTGTATCCTGAGTTGTGCCCATTGATTGATGTGATAGGTCTAGCTCTCCTATGACCATATATTGGATAAAGTGGGTAGAAAATGGATGGATAATATATTATGTTTATTTTTAATGTTAATAAGCACACTTTGGTATACTATGTAGATTAAAATTTTCATCCTAAAATTCCACACAAGCTAACCAGCTATGTTTTTGAAGCCAGTACCTTTTCCTGGCTTCTTTCAAGAAAGGTCTGGATGAGATCCTCAGATCAATTCCCTACCAACTGTCAAAGGGGCTAGATAGCCCAAATTACTTCCTCTCATTTATAACCTTTCTTATGTTCTCATGTTAATATTTAATCTGTGTCATGAGGTCTTTTCCACTAGATAAAATTAAACCTGTCACTACCCGAGATGCTGTGTCTGTTTCCTTTTTCTGGTGCTCTGCTCAGTAAACAGGTATACCTGAGAGGCAACACTGCTGTCAGAAACCAGAAGAATGGCCTGCATTAGCCCTGTGTGGTGCTCACAGAAATGGGATTTAAAACTGTCTGTCAGTGTTGATATACAGCATTTCTCTTGCTGTTAAAATCCCTTATAAATCAGTTTAATATTTACTGCCACAACTTGACCTCAGGTTTGTCATATAAAGAAATAATCCCA